CTTTAAGACGGCAAGGAGGGGTGGATACAGAAGTGATTTTGTTACATTTTTGCGCCACTTCGTAAAGTATAGAATCTTCTTTCTCTAGTTTTGTTAAGATCTCTCTACAAACAATTTCCGTTTTGCAAGTTTGTTACCTCGTGCATATTGATACACACATACTTTTTTTAATTTTTGCGCTACTTCTCTACACATAATTTTCCCAACAATTTAATGTTATTTTATGGTGCTACCACCATTGTCAAAATATCCACACCGACTTTGCAAACTTGACATTTGTTGCAACTGCTCGATATAATGTTAAATCACTGATATCTCCCTAATCTTGTCTTGTGTCGCTTCTCTCTTATTCAACAGCCACTTCTCATATTCTTTTAACTTTTCGGTTGCAGCTACATTGTACGTGATTTTATTATTTAAGTTTTCTTCTTTCACATGCATTTGGGAACGCTTTGCACGATCTCACATGAGGCTCGCCCAGCTGTATCATGTGATCGGGGCTGTCAGTGCATCAACCTCCGCGTTTGGAAGAGGTTTACATGCTCCTCCTTCCGATCGCTCTAACCCTCATCTGGTCCGGACGATCAGCCTCTTCGCTCCGCCAACACAAACCACACTTTACTTTGCATCAACGCCTCCTTCCTTTTTTCTGTCGAATGACGAGCCTGTTCATCTGCTACTTGGCCTAGAACACCATCACCGGACGAATGTACCATTTTGAGAGGTATCTCGGTCCCCATTCGTTGCAGTAAACTATCGAAAAACGACAAATAATCGGCATAAATTATCCCAATTCACAGACAGGAATTCACATGTACACACACATACACATGCATCAACACAAATATACAGTCATAAACTCCTCCTTAACTGTGGACTGGTTGTTGCCATTTAGCAATTGAGTGTTTGAGGCTAAAGCCACTACGTTATGCAGAATTAACCTGGGATTAGCATATTTTATAGCAAAAAGGAGGGATTTAGAGAGCCCTTTGTCCTCGACATTGACGAAATCGCGTCCGTAGAAAGTGAAAGCATTAAAAATTTGTGTATACAAAGCAAAGTTGCGTTTTCCAAAAATCGCTTGGACTACACATGTTGGGCTTACTTCCATTGCAAGTGATTAATGTTGATATTATTGAGATCTGTTTAGAAAAAGCCGAATCTGCGAGTCTAGACGAGATGAAAACAGCTCTTGGGAAGAATGACTTAGTGGAAATCATGAGAAGAAATCAAACTATACTTTCGTCTTGAAAACCCTATTTATAAACGAATAATTTCATTTCTTCACTTTGGGTAAATACAGACTTCATTAAAGTTCTATCAAGCCTCCTTTAACCGATCCGGTATGAATATTTACTCGAACATTCCGGCTGAAAATGTCTGCGAGCCATTCTATATCGATTCCGGTGAAGACATGTTAAGCTTTCATCTGTAATTTGTCTGTTATCATCAAAGCATGGACACATTCTTGAAACCAATTCATGGTAAATAGTGTAAAAAGTGAAGACTATTACTGCTACCGCTACTACTACTGCTCCCACTTTAGCTATTAATAGCATGTCATGAATGTAAGAAGGCTTCATGTCAGAAGATAAGCCAGAATTCGAGTGAGATATCTGAAGGATTATTCCGAAATTCGACAGTATGGCAAGTATAGAATAGATCATTCCTGTATCCTTCTTAACAAGTGGCATAATAATATTAAAGAAGTGGGTTGACCTCGTTTTCGCAACTTGGTCTTGTTGTCACGGCGATCATGTAGAACTCACCTAGTCCGATGTCGTCTGCCATCGTAGTTGTCATGCTTCCCAGCATCAGACAGTAGACTTGGTACATTCTCAAACGGCGGCGTCGTCAGTGAGTTTGCCATTCTTAGCACCAAGTTACGAACTCGTCAAAGAGACAAGTCAAGTCAATCTCTCGACAAGCGTTCTGCCGAAAACGGTTACACTATCACTCATCTTTATATCATTGTCTATCTATCTACTCTTTACGTTTGAGAATGTACCAAGTCCACCGTCAGATGTTGGGAATCATGACAACTACTAGGGCAAACGACTTCGGACTGCGACCATAACAGAGGCCACAACATCTTGGTCTTCAAATAAAATAATATTAAGTTTAGAGTTGAACTAGGAAATAATACAAGATTACAATTTGTTGATGTTTTTGCATTATTAAATGATGAATATTTGCGAATAAATATGAATATAAAGATCTTTTCTCATGTACAGCAAACTGGTAAGGAATTTGAGAGTAAAAAAGATTGTCAGAAAAAACTTTGCCTACTTTATGGAGAAGATAGAGCTACGATAAAAGAATGAGTTCATGTGTTCGCTTTTGTGTTGG